TTTTTTTTTTTTTTTTTTTTTTTTTTTTTTTTTTTTTTTTTTTTTTTTTTTTTTTTTTTTTTTTGTGGGGGGGGGGGGGGGGGTCTGTTGGTCTGTTTTTATGTGGTGTTTTGTTTCGTTCATTGCTGTGTTTTGATTGATTTATTTGTTTGTTTGCTTTGGTTTTTCCCTGGGCTTGCTTTGCTTTTATTTGATTTGTTTACTTAATTTGTTTTACTCCTATATCTCTGTGCTTAGGACCAGAAGATCAGATCCTCTATGTAGCCAATGACACCGAAATTGGCAGTTTTGTGTATCCATACAACCAAACTCACGGACACACTCAACTGGCCCGAATCTCAGACAGCGCTCGCATCATCGGCATGGACGCGCTATTTCACCATCACAAGTTTGTGTGGGCCACTCAGTTTAACCCCGGGGGGATCTTTTACAAAGACCTCCAGGACAGAAACCCAATCACATCAAACAGTGGAGTCATAGTAAGTCAATAACAACTAATAAGACCGATTTCAACAGTTCTGTTACATTGAACCTCTAACTTTTTAACAATTCTTTCAGATTCTATTTGAAATTTTCCTCAGGAAACCACAGAAACCAGCATGGTAACATCTTACCAAAGCACTTTTGAAACTTCACTACGATCTATATTTGCAGTGTCCAGACTTCCGGAGGCCCCGGGACATTTCGGCCGATTGGGTGACGGGGAACCTGTACTGGACGGATCACTCCCGAATGCACTGGTTCAGCTACTATACGGCACATTGGCGCCGACTTCGCTACTCCATTAACGTGGGACAGCTGGGGGGTCCCAACTGCACCCGGCTCATCACAGACATTGACGGGGAACCTTTCGCTATTACTGTTAACCCTGTATGCGGGTAAGTGTCTGTTTTTGAGTCCTGGCTGTTGTATCAGGCAACATGTGTATGATATCCTCCATCGTTCTTTAGGATGGTCTACTGGACTGTGATTGGTGACCACTCTCACATTGAAGAGGCCGCCATGGATGGGTCCTTGCGTCGCATTTTGCTGGAGAGGAACTTGCGTAGACCGACGGGTGAGATTCTTGCGTGCCAGTCATCCTCTTTAAAATATTTTGTAATGTAAAATATGGGACTCACAAAAAGCATGTGCCAAATGTTACGCTAAAAGGGAGCATTTCAACATGTCTGTCACTGTCACTTAAAATGTGAAGCACCAAAAACGTCCTGGTAAGAATGTCATTTCAGTCATCTAAAAGTGAAGTCCATTATAAAATATAAAGTTTGAGTGAAACTATTTCATGTGTACAATATTCCAAGGTGAAATTCTTGCTACTCTTAATGGAAAGGCCTAATGTTGTTTTAGTTTTCTGGTAATAGAAACATTTCATTTTTTTTTAATGTAATGAATAAATGTAAGACAAATGTTTTCACTAATGTGACCAAGAAAAATAATATTTAATTAATATAAAATTGTAATAAATAAACAAAAATTACAGTATTTATTATAATGTTATTATTAATATTTAATATTTTTAATATAATATAATATCATTTATTTTTTGCTTTTTGTTGTTTAATTTATTTATTTTTGTTTGTGGTGTTTTGGTTTTCTCATTTTGTATGTTTTTTTTTTCACTTTTTTCATCTTTTGTTTTGCTTATTTTTTGCTTTTTTTCTGTTTTGTCAGCTTTAATTTTGTTTAATTTTGGTCTTTTTGTGCTTTGGTTTTTTTTTTTTTTCTTTTGTTTTATCTTTTGTTTTGTTTCACTTTTTGCTTTGTTTTTCTTTTGTATTTTGTTTGTGGTGTTTTGGTTTTTTTTTTCTTTTTTTTTAGCTTTAATTTTTTTTAATTTTGGGTTTTTTTTGCTTTGGTTTTTTTTTTTTTTCTTTTGTTTTATCTTTTGTTTTGTTTCACTTTTTGCTTTGTTTTTCTTTTGTATTTTGTTTGTGGTGTTTTGGTTTTGTCTTTTTGTATGTTTTTGTTTTTCATCTTTTCTTTTGCTTTTTTTAAATGTACTTTTTGCTTTGTTATTTATTTATAATATTTTTAAAATAATATAATCATATTGTCTTTTTTTATTGTAATTTATATATAATTATGTATATTATATATATTGATGTATATACGCTAATTAATATTTTATTTTATATTTGTTTTAATGATATGATAATTATATATTTGAAATAATAATATATAATAGTATTAACATTTTATCTTATATTTGTATTAATTGTATTATATAAATCATATAATATATACATTTTATAATTATGTTATATTAATTTTATATTTCAGATAATAATTTATAATTATGTATAATTAAATTAATATAATTATATAATGTAATATAATTGTATTGTAATAACATTTTATAATGTAATTGTCTATATCTTTTCAGGACTTGCAATTGACTATTACAACCAGCGGCTGTACTGGTCAGACTCTGAGCTGTCTCAGATGTGTATATATATATATATATTATACACACACACATATACACACACATACACAAAGAAAAACAAGTAGATAGAATAGAAAAAATAGAAAGCTAGTGTTTTTTTTTTAATAAAAAAAGAAGATAAATATAGATAAAGTAGAATTAAAATAGAATAGAAAGTGCTAGAGTTAGAGGGTCAAATAAAGGTGGAACAGATGTGTTTTTAGTCGTTAGTTTAGTTTAGTTCGTTTAAAAAAAAAAACACCTTCAGCTCAGGCCAGCCCTTGATTCCAACATGTGAAGGGCTGCAAAAGCTAAGCTGAGTGTAGTTTATATAAACTCACAGATTTCTATTTCGATTCCCTCAGACTGTGATTGGAAAAATGCTATTTTAGGGAAAGCGTCAAAGTTGAGGGTGAATTTGAATCCAAAACTCTTGCAAAACCTAGTTAACTGTCTGCTGTCGACATAGACAGCTACTTTCTAAGCCAACTTAGAAGGAAGTGCATCAAAATCATTCAACCTTAATGACATTCTATTCCATTTTTATATAAAGAAATTGGTTTATGATTATTTTAGGTGCTTCAATTAAAAAAATTTTTGTTTTGATTTTAATCTAATACCTTTCGTTTTGTTAATTAGTTAAGTTGCTACTTGAACATTGATGTTCCAGGAAATGTTTTTGTTTAGTTTTATTTTGTTTGTTTCTGTTTTTGTTACAGTTTGATGTTTTGTTTTTTGTTTTATTTTGTGCATTTGTTTGGTTGGTTTATTGTTTGGTTTGCTGTTTTGTTTTCATTTGTTTTGTGTTTCTTTTTGTTTTGATTGTTTGTTTTGCTGTTAGTCATTTCTCTCTACTCATCTGCCATCTTTGGTGAAATTTTTCTATTAGATTTATTGCAATGCATTCTGAAATTGCTTCCTTTGCTAAGTAAAAAATGCAAATGCAGTGCAAAATGGGATATCTTAAAGCACAATATAATTTTGCTGTCTGCTTTTTGGAATGTAGGGGCCATGTTTATGATGCTTTAAAATGCTGTCTATATATGCCACTCACTAGGTTTTGGAACAGAGATTTTTTTGTTTTTTTTTCTCAGTTCTGGGCCTCGAACTTGAATATCCTTTACCCTATGCTTAAAGTACATCTAAAGGCAATATTAAATATGTGTTCTGAGTTTGTCACACCACAGAAAAATGTATTATTAACCACTCAGCCAAATTTGAATGATGAAAAAATCCGCCAAGTAAATAAAATAAGTGATCAAAATCTTGAAAAAATGGGCGGTATCCTCTGCTCTATTTTGGTCTTTTTGTGCTTTGGTTTTTTTTTTTTTTCTTTTGTTTTATCTTTTGTTTTGTTTCACTTTTTGCTTTGTTTTTCTTTTGTATTTTGTTTGTGGTGTTTTGGTTTTGTCTTTTTGTATGTTTTTGTTTTTCATCTTTTCTTTTGCTTTTTTTAAATGTACTTTTTGCTTTGTTATTTATTTATAATATTTTTAAAATAATATAATCATATTGTCTTTTTTTATTGTAATTTATATATAATTATGTATATTATATATATTGATGTATATACGCTAATTAATATTTTATTTTATATTTGTTTTAATGATATGATAATTATATATTTGAAATAATAATATATAATAGTATTAACATTTTATCTTATATTTGTATTAATTGTATTATATAAATCATATAATATATACATTTTATAATTATGTTATATTAATTTTATATTTCAGATAATAATTTATAATTATGTATAATTAAATTAATATAATTATATAATGTAATATAATTGTATTGTAATAACATTTTATAATGTAATTGTCTATATCTAGTTTGTCACACCACAGAAAAATGTATTATTAACCACTCAGCCAAATTTGAATGATGAAAAAATCCGCCAAGTAAATAAAATAAGTGATCAAAATCTTGAAAAAATGGGCGGTATCCTCTGCTCTCAAACGCTGGGGGCGTGTCCGCTTTTTGCGCTGAAACCACACAAGCACACAAGTTAACTTACACTCAGTGGTGGGCACGTACTGCCGACGATGGCACTAGTTGTCGGCGGGGTTGGGAGGATGAAGGCCGAGGCGGGAAATAGTCGGTTCGGCCCCATTTACCAGTAACAGCGGATTATCAGTGAATCCCAGTTTTCTCCAATAAAAGTTTATACATTTATCCGGTGTAAAATTATCATTGCACAGGTGGGTTTTGGTGGTGATCCTCAGCTCTCCATCAAGGTGGCTCTTTTTGATATAATCATTATTAGGAAATTTAAATAAGGACTGTTATTGTTAAGCTGTTTTGTACGTTACCGCAACCAGGAAATACGCATTTCAGTGACAAAAAAGCATAGCTAGCTAGCTGTGTGTGTGTAGGCTGTGTGTTACTAACGGTACTGACAACTCGCGATTGAGCAGGTGAACTGATGCGAATGTACTCTAGTTATAGTGTTAGGGGAGGGGCCATGGCTTGGGGGGGCCATGGCTCGGGGACTCCAGTGTCATCGAACCCCCTTTTTAGCCCCGCCCAAAAAATCCTGAACACAGAATTGGTGAAAAACTGTTTAACGGTCTAACTCCACTATTCAGTACTACATAGTTCACAGTCTTTGTAATGTGTTTCAGCAATACATTTGTAACATTTATAATGCATTCAGAAACAATTCTCAGAATTGACTTTACAGGGACTTTAAGAGGGATTGTGTTTTTCTACTCTGTGACATTTTCAAATAACATTGCTGTTTTGTTTTGCATTATTGAATCTGGATGCATTCTCACAGTTGTACATGAAATATATTCAGTGTGAATGAACGACAGAAACTTACTTTGTTTTGTTTCAGGAATTTCTCAACCCTTCCGAATTGACCTGTTTGAGGACTACATCTACGGGGTCGGCATGAAGCACGACGTCTTCAGGGTTCATAAATATGGGAAGTCACCTGCCGAGAAGCTCAGTCTGGGTGTGGAGAGAGCGTCTAGCATCTTGGCCTTCCATCGGTACAAAGAACAGGAGGGTGAGTCCCAAAATGTGTCTCAGTCGAAAAGGATGACTTTTGTCAACATTTACTCACACTCATGTTGTTTCAAAACCTTATGACTTTGTTTTTCCTTGGAAAACACAAGCTAAGCTTCTGTTTTCTATAAAAACGAAAAGGTATAATGAGCAGAAATGTAAAAATACATGTTTGGAAGGACATTAGAGTTATTATATGATGACAGAAGTTAAATTTTTCAATCAAATTTCCCTTTAAAACCATTATGGCTGTGCATCTTCCAGAGGACCGTTCCAGTGTGAGATTTCTTTGGCAGCCGTCAGAGTTTAATTTCATGTTTAGTTTGTTGAAATCTGATTGGACTTCTCGTCTGTGGCCAGCTAGTGCTTATTACAATCACATATTACTGTCAAATGTTTTTATTATACAATTACCGGCTCTAATCAGATGAATGAAATGTTGTGTTTTGTTAGATTTGCAGAAGAGCAATTGAAAATATGGAGTCTCTGATGTTTTGAAGTCATGAAATTAAATCAAAATCTGGCCCTACTTATATTCTGAATAAATGTATCTCGTCTTATTTTGCACGATTTGGTAGTGCACATTAGTAAAGTAAAGTAAAGTAAAATGTAGTATTTATACAACAATAAATGTACTGATAAATATTAAAAATATTAAGAATACATTTTTTGTGCATATTTAATATTGCAAATAGTCATATAATAATCATATATCAAATAAACCTGCTGTAGTATCTAGGAATCTGTTACCAAAGATTGTATTTTATTGATGTGCATATTTAAAATAATTTGTGCTTTTAAAGTTATATAAATATATATTTTTATTTTTAATATAACAATGCAACTGCTGTAAAATAGAAATATATATATATATTAGGAATTGAAATTTTATGTTAATCTGTATTACATTTAAATATTTAATATTATTGATATTTATTAGTGTGAGTGTGTGTGTATACATTTTTAAACAGGAAATGTTATGTATATTATACATTTGATTTATATATTAATCATAGTATGTCTATTACTAAAGACAATTATTTATATACATGTAAAAATATTTTCTTTGGGGAAAAAAAAAAAGTGCAACTCCATTCCACATTATTTGCTCATAGAACATTTTTAATTTGTTATAAACGTTCCTTTCTTTTTGTCAGTTTTATCCATTCTGACAGCAGCTGTGGATTTATATTCTGGAGTCTTTTAAGTTTATTTCCCTGTTTTGTGACCGGTGTGACCCTTCTCCAATTTATCCTTTAGTCTCTTTATGCGTGTTTTCATTCCTCTTCCTTCCATTACGATTTTTCACTGTACTCTCTCCTCTTATCCACCGCTGATCTCTCTCTCCGTTATAAAGAAGGAGGGATGGAGGGATCTTAGCCTGCGTTGTTTGTCTTTGTGCTGGAGTAATGGGAAGTGTCATCACTCCCTGATGTGCTTTTACTCTGCAAAGCTTTATTGAAGATGCTCTTCAAAACAACCTGCAAAAGCTAAAATAAAAAAAACAAACAAATAATATCTCTCACATGCACACATTACACCACCTACTAAAAGCTTTTAGAGAGATAGTTTGTTATATGCTAGGATAGTTTCATCTTTCTGGCGAACATTATGCTGGCGGTATGAAAGACGCAATGTTCTGCTCTTTTGTAGCATAATGTTTCTCTGATCTCCACATGTAATATTTTTTGCCCTGTAATTTAGACAATTTTTACTCTCTCTGGCACCTTAGAATTAAACAGCCTACTGTACCTTTAAGACCATATGCAAACGACCCTTTTATAATTTTACATTTTGCTACATTTGTTTACATTTTATTATTTATTTTATTTTACATATATATATTTTATTTCATAATTTAGCTAAATGTTTTTCTACACTCTGAATTGATTTTTATTTATTTATTTTGCTTGTTTATTTACATTCTACTCTGCTTTGTTTTGTTTTGATTTATTAATTTAATTCAACATTTTGCTACAATAAGATTCACTGTTTTTTAACTGGTTTAATTATGTTTTTTGTTGTTGTTGTTGTTTTGTTTTGTTGTAACTATATATTTTGCTACACTAAAGATTCACCGACTTTTTGAACTGGTTTCATTATGTTTTGTTTTGCTTTGATTTTTTTCGTTTTGCTGTAAAAATTTAACTAAATATTTTGCTACACTAAATATTCACTGATATTTTGAACTGGTTTCATTACGTTTTATTGTGTTTTGCTGTAAAAATTTAAGTAAATATTTTGCTTCACTAAAGATTCACTGACTTTTTTAACTGGTTTCATTAAAATTATTATTTTTTTTTCGTTTTGCTGTAAAAATGTAACTAAATATTTTGCTACACTAAATATTCACTGATATTTTGAACTGGTTTCATTACGTTTTGTTTTACTGTAACAATTTAACTAAATATTTTGTTACACTAAAGATTCACTGACTTTCTGAACTGGTTTCATTACATTTTGTTTTGCTTTGCTTTTTTTCGTTTTGCTGTAAAAATTTAACTAAATATTTTGTTACATTAAAGATTCACTGGCTTTTTTAATTGGTTTCATTACGTTTTGTTTCGCTTTTCGTTTTGCTGTAAAAAAATTTACTAAATATTTTGCTACACTAAAGATTCACTGACTTTTTGAACTGGTTTCATTACGTTTTTTTTTTTGGTTTTGTTTTTTGGACCAGGAACTTTTACTCGAACTGTCAATTTAAACCATTCAAAAGAGCAGAAAGCATTATATATTCCATGCATGTTAATTTCCTCTTCTCTTCCTCTCTTTTTTAGTGTGTCACCCATGAGTTAAGGAAACTGCTACATATATATATATGTTAAACTTTAGTTAATATTTTGCTACTGGAATGCACAATTTTTAACTGGTTTATTTGTATTATTTTATTATCAATTTAACTAAATATATATTTTTTTTTTACATTTAGTTTCAACAGATTTTTGAATCTGTGTCTCTACATGTTCTATCCTAATGAACCCATTTGAAATTAAAAAAAAATCCCATTTTAGGTTCATTTTCTCTTCTCTTCCTCTCTCAGTGTCCAACCCATGTGCAAAGATGCATTGCGCTTTCCTTTGTCTCCTGAACCCCAGCGGGGCCAGATGTGTGTGTCCTGAGGGGAAAATTCTGCTGAACAGGACCTGCACGGACACCAACATCTCAGGTACATCTGTCAAAACGCACTCGGCAGGATGCTCTTACATCACTAACAGAGCGCTAGCGCGACCCTGAGAGGCCCCGGCATGTCAAACTCAAATGTTTCACTTGAGTGATTTTGACTGAAGTGTTTACTATTATGTGCCCTTTGCCCACACACGCAATACATCTGAAGCCTGTGTGCTAAAAAAAGACAGCGATTGTGTTGCTAGTATTGATTCAGTCAGAGTGGATGACTTATTTGATTAGCGGTACTTGCTAAAGCGAGCCTTCTGTATCTTTGAACCACCTTAGTCAGATGTAGCCTAGAACCATACAATAATTAATGGACTGTATAGTTTATTTATTTATGTGTATTTATTTATTTATACATTCTAAAATGTATCAATATACAACAAATGAGGCAAAACAAGATATAAAACTTGCATGTTAGAAACAAGCAGAATATACAGTATATAACAACATAAATATAAATTTTTGATACAAAAAAAATGAAATGTTAAGACTGATCAAAGAAATCTAAAATCAAAATATAACTTGCAGATACATATTTTCATGCATCAAATAGTTGAAAAATCTAAATAAATATAAAAAGTATGCCCCCCCCCCCACACACACACACACACAAATGATTAAATAAATAAATAAACAAACATTTTAGAAAAAGGACACTTTAAAAAAATTCAGTTACCGCAACAACTTTCTGCATTTTTGTTTTCCATACATCTTGATGAGCTAATAGTTCATTTTGAAAAAAATAAAATAAAATACATTTTGAAAAAGAGTCTTTGGGTCTTTATAAATTTGTCTGTATAAAACAAGAATTTAGCAAGAATTAATATATAGTTTAGAATATAATCATTATGTGTATTACTGTGTTTGCCAGTACACAACAAATGAATACAAGTGCTTTGTAACAAATAAATGTAATCAATATTAATCTTTACTAAAATCTATCAATTCAAAATTGATACTTTGTATTTTACAATTTAAATTAAATTCATTTATTTTAAATAAATAAAACTGGTTCATAAAAATAGTTTCTTGTCATTTTTAGAGCTTAAACACTCTTTACGTTCAGTTGCATTAATTACATTCAGTTGCATTAATATATATATATATATATATATATATATATATATATGAAGAGTT